CATTTATGAATAATTTATGTAGATCGAAGCAGCACCAGCTATAATAGATTTAAAAAATGAAACTTTGGCTGCCTCCAATAGACATCTAAGGGCATATTACATCCTGGTGAAGGTTGAGGATGCATCAGACCAAAATAAGAGCATTACAGAAGTGACAGGACCTCGAATTAAAGAATAATTAGTTGTGCAACATCTCTTCCTAATTGGCAACAATGTTCACCTGAAAAGTAGAGTGTTTTATTAGTGCTGCCTCATTATCAACCATGTATTTTAGATCATAAAGCACCAGTTGATCAGTCTATAACTTGATATATCTATCCTTCAGCCCATCCTTGAATGAACCAAAAATGTCCAAATGAAGGATCCTTATCATCCTTCCACAACATTTTAACAATTTTTTTTCTTTACTTCTCCAAGAAATCAAGATATTAGTTATGTAGTCTTTAAGGTAGTCATGCCTACCAAGGTTTGAGAGCAGAGATCAGTATTTAAGATAGTTCTCACTACCTACAACAGACTAGAAAAATACAACACACGATGAAACAATTCTGCCAGTAGCAGGGTTAAAAAAAGGTTGATTTTTTGCCTGATTCATTTTTGAGCTCTTGTATGCCAATGATTGACATTACAGAAACTTTAGACCTGCAACAATGCTCCAATGCAAAAACCTTAGCATTATGAAATTTAACTTGTATCTCAACTCTTTCATTAAGAAAACCAGTACTGGGATCAGCAGTTAGCGTAATGGCTATGTTGCTGGACTCCCATGTAGTCGACTGCGGTTAGTGTCCTGGACCCGGTGGCTTAAAACTCATGCCAGGCACATGTGCGTGCGTGCCCGATCCAGAGAGGAGAATGAAGGAGAAGGGATTGCAGCATGGCCATCCCCCCTGGGGGTGACTTCTCTCTTTCTGTCTCTCTGTCCCTCTCTGTCTGTCTGGCGAGTGCACACGCCCTATAGCAAAAAAAACTCTCAAAAACAAAACAAAACACCAGTATTAACAACTTATTTGGAGTGTTCTGCTATCAGCGCCATCTCATAGTTGAACTTGATGCCATAGCAGAGACCATCATCAAAGTGACAGCTGGAATTCAGCCATTGGTTGGAAGAAGCACCAGTTCCTGCCATTTATTAATCTTTGTTTCTAGTATTTAACATAATAAGCAAATGAACAATTAAACTAAGGAATAAATGAGTAACACAGAAATAATTTATACCAGAGGGAACTCTGTTCTGTTCTGTCCCTCCACAAAATCAAGAAATGACCTGAAATACACACACACACACACACACACACACACACACACACACACACACACACACACATATATAAATTCAAGAGCAACATAATGCTTGATGAAGAAAGAAACCACCGCTTTGCAGTAAGGGAGCACTATGACACTTTAAATCCCATAATATCATACCCAAATCCTAGATGAACAAATAATTTGAGGATAAAAGTCTGTACTTCTAGGGTAAATTGTTGGTGCCAGAGGGAACAATAAACACCTTTTGTTCCAAGAAATGTGCTCAATCATTTAGACTTCTTTGGTGGCTTCCTGAAGGAGTGGCACAGTAACTTACTTTGTTTTGCTTAGAGCACTCCCAGGGCTCGCATAAAGTTCTTGATAGAGAGGACCAAAACAATTGAAAGGCAAAACCATTGACCGTGGTAGACTTTGGTAAGAAGCAACAGACCAAACAAAGAAACAGACTGAATGATCTGGAAAGATAAAGGTTGAGAAAGGAGATATGTTTGAAAATAAGATTTTATTTTTAGAGCACCCACATAAAACAGAGAATAGAAAGAAGCCATGCACATTCCCAGGGTTTTTAGATTGTTCAGAAAAAAGATGAGAAGACATTATGCTTCGATTATGACGGGGCTGACCTTCAGCCTTTGAGCCTCTGTGCAAGCAAAAAGTGTAGGCAGAGTTATAAACAAACTTGCTAACCATTAAAGGGAGGGTCTCAAAGACAGCTAATCAGTAAAAACTAAGAGTATTCTTTCTCTTTTGCCTATAGGTATTTAAGGAACCTCTACTAAAATAATAAATGGCCACTAAATTAAAAGAATCCTGAGGTCAGTGGCCACACAAGACAAAGAAAACAGACTTTACAACAATAGTTTCTAAAGGTCACTAAACAAATAAAAAAAAAGAAACATACAACAATTAACAACAAATAACCCTAGGAAGGGAAAGAAACTTTATTTACTCAGTTGCCATCTTATAATATTCAACATGTTCAAGTTTCACCGAGATTTAAAGGCAGGCAAAGAAACCAGAAAGTATTGTCCATTTACAGGAAAAAGTAATTCATAGAAACTGATCCTGAGGAAACACAGCGTTGGACTTACTGGACAAATAATTTTAAACTATTGTTTCAAATATTCTCAAAGAGCTAAAGAAAACTACATTAAAAAAATTTAAAGGAACCCAGGAGAATGATTTCTCGACAAATAGAGAGTAACATGAAAGAAATAGAGCTACAAGAATGAACCAAATAGAAAGTTTGAGGCTAAGAAGTGCATTAACTGAAATGAAAAATTCATGAGTGATTCAATAGCAGAATTGAGCAGACTGAAGAAATAATCAGAGAATAGGTCAAATTTTTTAAGAGAGATTTTTGCTATAGGGCACAATGAGCTTGCCAGCGAGACAGAGACAGAAAGCAAGAAATCACCCCTGCACCCCCGGGGGGGATAGCCACATTGCAATCTCTTCTCCTCCATTCTCCTTTCAGGATCTTGGGCACATATGCGCACGTGCCCAGCATGAATTTAAGTCACCACGTCCAGGACTCAAACCACGATTTACTTCGTGAAAGTCCAGCAACATAACCATTATGCCATCTGCTGGTCCCAAGAATAGGTCGATTTTGATTAGACAATCTGAGGAGTAGAAAAAGAATGAAGAAAAATGAACAGTGGCTAAGAGATCTGTAGCATGCTATCAAGTGTATATACACATGCACAAAGGAATTTTTAAGAGAGAAGAAAGAAAGAAAGGATTAGAAAAGGAAACATTTAAAGAAATAATAGCTAAAAACTCACCAACTTTGAGGGAAGATGTGACTCCACATATCCTTGCTCAATGAACTCCACTCAAAAATTACTCTAAAACCTTCATATGTCTTGACACATTATGGTCCAAGTGTTGAAAGATAGAGGGAATCTTGAAAGTTGAAAGAGCCAAGCATCTCATCAAACAAAATCATCAAACAAAAAGTATCTTTAATGAGATTAACAGTGAATTTTTCTTCAGAAATCATGGAGACCAGATAGAAAAAAGAGGAAAAAAGAAAAACCACTCTAGAACTTAAATGGCAAGATTAAACCACACATCACAGTGGATTTCTTCTCAAACTGACAATGTTTAGATTTTAAACAAATAAACTTCCAGTTATTGTGAGAGAGAAAAAAAAAAAAGAAGGCTGCAGTGGGATAACATAAAATGCTAATGGTTATGTCGCTGAACTCCCACGTAGTCCACTGTGATTAGAGTCCCAGACTCGGTGACTTAAACTCATGCTGGGTGCATATGCTTGTGAGCCTAAGATCCTGAGAGGAGAATGGAGGAGAAGGGATTGCGACGTGGCCATCCCCCCGACGAGTGATTTCTCACTTTCTATCTCTCTGTCTCTCTCTGTCTTTCTGGCTAACGCACATGCCCTATAGCAAAAAAAAAAAAAAAAACTCTCCAAATTAATAATAATAATAATAAAATGCTGATAGATTTAAAAAAAAAAAAACACATGGAGGGAACCAGCAGTTAGCTAGCGTAATGGCTATGTCGCTGGATTCCCACGTAGTCGACCGCAGTTCGCATCCCGGACCCGGTGGCTTAAAACTCATGCCGGGCACGTGTGCGTGTGTGCCCAAGATCCCGAGAGGAGAATGGAGGAGAAGGGATTGCAGCATGGCCATCCCCCCTGGGGGGTGATTTCTCGCTTTCTGTCTCTATGTCTCTCTCTGTCTGCCTGGCGAGCGCACGCACCCTATAGCGAAAATCTCTCTCAAAAAAAAAAAAAAAACACATGGAAAAATTAAAACATTTCCTGGTAAACAAAAACAGAGGGAGTTCATTATTAGCAGCCATATTCTGAAAGAAATATTGAAGAGAATCTATCAGGATGAAATGGAAGGACACCAGAAGTGCATTCAAAGCATATGAAGATATAAGGAACAATGAAAGTAGCTACAAAGGCAATGTAAAAGCAAGCAAAAGTGAATTATTAGTTTGTTACTCTGCTTTTGGTTTCCTGTCTGATGTAAAGGGCAGATGCATAAAACAATTGTTACAGGCCTATGTTAATGAGCACAAAATGTACGAAGATAAAATTCATAAAAACAACATAAAAAAGGGATGAGGTTGTAAAGAAAATTTTTGTATAAGATTGAAATTGTAAGTGATTAATACTTGATTGTCATAAAGGAACGCTAAATGCTTAATGAAAATAAGCAAATTAGAAATTGCCATGGGCCTGAGGAGTGGGGAATGACAAATTACTACCTAATGGATGGGTGATTTCTTCTTCGATGAAATGTGTAGGGTTTTTTTGGTTTCACTGTTGTTATGTACAGAATGCCATTGGATTGTAGACTTTAAAGTGATTGATTTTACCTTAGTAAAAATGTATGTAACACTGAAATGATCATCGTATGATGAGGACAGAAAATACCCTTTACCAGATTTAGGCCAACTGCAGTGGTCCAGGCTGTGAGGACCATGTAGAGGGTTTTCAGGTTCTTATCTGTGGTCTGCCTCAACACTCCTGGAGCATCAATGATCCTGGCTGGCTTTGGGGGTACGGAATGGTGTGTGAAGACCCTGCGGAAGGTCTCTCCTTCTTGCTTTTCAGAAAATGTATGAATAAACCAAAACAAAACCTCAGATTATAAAAGGAAAAAAAATAAGTACACTAAAACTTAAAAGCTGTGGTTGGTGCAATGTGGATAACACCTTCTTGTTCTTGTCTCCTCTTTGTTTTCTTTCAGATTATGTCTGGCCACTACCTAGATATTTGTGCCCCGTCTGGATTTCTTTAGATGTTTTATTTTCAACAGCGTCCATCATGCACCTCTGCGCTATTTCGCTGGATCGGTATGTAGCAATACGTAATCCTATTGAGCATAGCCGTTTCAATTCGCGGACTAAGGCCATCATGAAGATTGCTATAGTTTGGGCAATTTCTATAGGTAATTGAAACGTTCTTGGCCATTAGAATTGCAGCGGCTATGCTCAATACTTTCGGATTATGTACTGTGAACAACGTACAGACGTCGACTGGTAACATTTGCGTTTAATCGGGATTTTTCTAATTGAACAATTATTCTTAACCTATTTATCTGATATTTAGGTTAACAATAATGAAAAGACTGTAATGTGCGTGGATATGTAAGTGTGAAGTTTAAATTCAAAATAATTGCTATTTTATGCATTAATATGCCAACGAATTCTGCAACACAGATAACAAAAAATTTGAGATATTTAAAATAATTTGAAGAGGTCAAAGATATAAATTCTATATTTGTAAAATATAACATTTAAATCTTTTTAAAAAATCTATCTCAGAATATTAACCTTGATCATTTTATTCTGATTCCATATCCTTTTTGGTAGAAAAATCAATGCAATCTGAATCTTCATGAAGTAAACATATTTAAGTTTATGCTACTACTAAAGCCTAAGAGAGACTGTTTCCCCTCTGTTCTGCTTGTCTTCTTGAACTCTGGTTATACAAAAAAGAGAAAAAACTATTGGCTCCGTTAAGGATTTGGGGGCCGGGAGCAGTGGTTAAAGGGATAGAAATAAACATGTTTTTGCTTTAATTTAAGGTATTCATAAATGCCTTAACAATGCTAATATTAAAGTCAAGAAATTTAACAACTTGGAATTTAGGGGTTTTACAGTCCTCGTTTTTTCCTCTTCTACTTGAATCATACAGTATGTTCATTAAATAATTTATCTTCAAACCTATGTTTCTGTAAAAGATGCGGGTAAAGTTTACATTAGATCAAGATCTCTATATAACCTTCACTGATATTATCTAAAGATTTTGACTCTAGGTTTATTGATCAAATAACTTCGCTTATATTTTAAGATTGCTCTGGTATAGATTGTTTTGTCTGTCTATAGTACAAACATCTTTGGATAAAATGCCATGAAACCTATCACAGCAATAAAATGGATCCATAGACACAATTTGATTTACAAATGCAAAGGTTCACAGATTTTACTCCTTGCACCTTAAAGAGCTCATCTAAAAAGATACTGGCTCTTCTGGTGATTACACATGAAAGACATAGATGAACTAAATTGGAATATTGGTGGCATCAGCTTCTAGTGCTTTCAAAATGAATAATTTGCAGTGACTAAAGACAACTAAAAATGTGAATAAAAAACTAAAAGCAATGAGAAGCTAATAAAATAGTGAACTAGAAGCTAATAAAATAATATTTGGCTACAGTACCTGAAAGGACAGATCCAGGAAATATGGCTATGACTTTGGCTAACTTTTGCCAGTGATACGTTGCAAACCTGAACATATGACTAACAGGTTGCAAAACTTCACAGTCTCACAAGCAAAAGAGGACCGAAGCAGAAAGAGTCTGTCCATGTTCAATCAACTTGAGCTTGGATTTAGGCCTGCATACTATGAATAAGGATGAGCCAGGATTTCACCATCTTTGACAGGGCACACAGCCCTGGTTCAAATCATGTGTGTCACCGAGATAAGCCTTGAGAAACAAAATTGGATTGAGGCCATTTCATACTGTTCATGTTTCAAATTTTGAGGGCATTAGCAAAATAAAGTTATCGTTCTAGGCTTCAAGTTATTTCCTTTTTTTCCAAAAAATTTCTTTCAATTATTTTCAAATGTTGTAACAAGAATAAAAAGAGAAACAGATATATGAAGAAACAATGCAACATAAAGCAATGTATTGATAGAACAATGAAAGATAATAGAAACGAACCTATAGACACTTCAGATAGTTGAACTGTCAGACATAGACTTTAAACAACTGTCTGTAATGTGCACAGACAAATTATAAAAAACTAGCCTTAAATATTTCAACAAGAAACAGTAAACTATAAAGAGTGACATTAAGCTTTACAAACAAGGGTCAGCAGGTAGCATGGTTGTTAAGGTACTAGACCACCACAGTTCGAGTCCTGGACCTGGTGGCTTAAATATCACACTGGGAGAGTGTGCGTGCATGCCTGATATTCCAGTAGGAGAATGGAGAAGGGATTGGTGCATGGCAATCCCCCCTGGGAAGGGGGTGAATTCTCATTTTCCCTTTCTCTCCATCTCTGCACGTGCCCTATAGGAACAAAAAAAGAAAACAAAAAAAAAAATTTTTTTAAGTTTTCTTAAAGCAAAGGTAAATCGGCCATGGATGAAGTAATTAATGCAGAAAGCCATTAAGAGCAGTCGAAATGGTAAATATGTGGCTAAATACAAATAAATATTATAGAAAAAATAATGTTTTTTGAGACTCAAGATATTTATGAAACTAAAAATGCATAAAAACAAAACCACATGAGAGCATTGGATGTCAGCTTCTTTCACTGTCCAAGAGAAAGATCAAAATTTATTTAATACTAACCTTTGATGAATAGTATAACTTGTTGTACATTCAAGGATAACCACTACTGGAACAGAAAAAGAATGTTTGACTTCCAGTTTTACAGAGGAATATTATAGAATTACAAAACAAATCCAAAGGGAAGCAATACAAGATAGAAAAAGAAGTGCGGATGAGATGGCAAAATATTAAACATATACTAGATGGCAGAATGAAAGCCAAATATATCCCTAATATAAGTGAATTAAATATGTTAAGACCACCAGAAAGGATTTGAAAAGATAATCCAGGGCCAGCAGATGGCCTAGTGGTTAAGGCACTGAACTCCCATGAGGCTGACTGTAGTTTGAGTCTCAGACCAGGGGGCTTGAAACTCATACTAGGTGCATGTGTGTGTATGCTCAAAAGCCCAAGAGGAGAGTGGAATAAAGGGGATTGAGACATGGCTATACACCCAGGGCAGTGATTTCTTGTTTTCTGTCTCTCTGTCTTTCTGGAGAGTGCACATGCCCTATAGTGAAAATCTCTCAGAAAGCAATAATCCAACTATGTGTTACACAAGACATATATAAAACATAAGGAAAGTAAAAGGATTAAAAAATATATTCCACCCCAACACAAACCAAAAGAATGATTGTATAGCTATGTAAATATTTGTCAGATAGACCTTTTGGAAGAAAAAAAAAAACTTTAGAGAAAGATTACTGAATAGTGATGAAAGATGTAAAGATTTCATTCTTCTGAAAGACATAGAATAATGAATTTGTAAATAATAATACAGCAACAATAGTGTACATAAAAATATGGTATCAGCATTTACAAAGTAAAGAAAAGGACAGACAGATAAATCTATAAACATGGTGTAAGATTTGAACATACCTTTCTCAGTGATTGTATGGCGACAATGAACAAACCTGAACTCACTGAAAAATGAAGAATATCTATTCCAATCAAATGCACAAGAAACAGTCCTCGAAAGTGATCATACATTTTGCCATTAATTAATCCTCAATTAATCTCAAATGTTCAGAATCATAATGTATATGTTCTTTTAAGGAAATCTGAATGAGATAGAAAAGACTACCAACTGGATAACCAGAATATCCCTACATTTTTGATCCAGTAGATTTACAATCCATTGGTGATTCTTCCCGGAGCTATTTATTACTTCAGTTACTGTACAGTGATCATCTTTTCCCTTTATCGTTCTTTTTGCCTTTGTCAATTGTCATTATACTGCATTCTTTGCTATTACTTATTCACCTTAGTAGGAACTCATGAGTTCTTTGGTAGTCAATGTAACGTGCATGATTCGTTTCTGCTCTTAATCATTTCAGTGCTCAAATGATCCTAGGTTGTCCAGTGAGAACTATTTTTGATATGTTCCATCAGTTTCTTACTTTCTAACATAAATTTCGCCTATCTCCCCTTTTATTTCCCATACCCCAGTCCCGAAATTAGTTATATCTTCAAGGAACCCTTTTAGTGAGCAATTGTTTTAGAAACCATGATATAGAACCCAGGTGTACTCACGGCTACTGGGATATCATTGCTCCTATATACCCATGACTTTAATCCCAGTCCACTGGAAAAGGATCCTTCTGCTGTTTTCTAGTTCTTCATTTTTTTTCATATTTTGTACATAGTAAGTAACCCAGTCCCCAAAGCATCTATATATGTATTTATTATTTCTATTTTCTAAATTTTATTGTAGAATACAACAAATTCATTTCAGAATTGCTACACCGCTACCACTACCATGAAATAAAATGCTACATTTAAAATGTCATTGCTGGGGCCAGCAGGTGGCATGGTGACTGGGGCATCAAACTCCCACATGGTTGACTGTGGTTCAAGTCCCAGACCTAGCAGCTTACTTTCTTGCTTTCCCTCTCTCTCTCTGTCTCTTTCTAGTCAAATGAAAAATAATAATAATTAACAAAATTAAATAATTCAAAAAATTTAATTTGAGGGTTTTTTAATCTTTAAAATGTTTGCCATAGGGCCAGTAGGTGGCGTAGTGGTTAAGGTGCTGGATTCACATGGCCAACCAAGATTGAAGTCCTAGTCCTGGTGGCTTACTTTCTCAATTTCTCTCTCTCTCTCTCTCTCTCTCTCTCTCTCTCTCTCTCTCTCTCTCTCTCATCTCTCATCAAATTAAATAATAATAATAAATAAAATTAAATCATTCTTAAAAAAATAAAATGTTTACCACTGAGGGTATATAGTCAAAATATTATGTTCAAAATTCTAGAACTAGTTCAAAATTTTTTCTTCTGTGTGATTCTGTTATCAACTGTTTACAGTTGGGGATTTTTTGGTAAATTTTTGTATGTATCCTATATTGATTTCCCAAGCCTTGTTGACTCAATTTTTTAGTATGTAAAATCGTAATATGATGTTCCAAAAGCCAAAACCATGCAAATAGTATACTTTGAAAGATGTCACTCCTATTCCTTGGTTATACCATTTATTTGTTTCTAGCTTGTACTATTTGAGTTTAGGTTTGAAAAAAAAATCTGTGTGTGTTTGCATGTGTTTGTTTATGCACATACATATATTGCTATTTTTCCTTTATTAGATAAAATACTACATACATGTTAATA